TGCTAAAAAAAAAAAAAAAAAAAAAACAACAACAAAAAACATTGGAGGTGCCATCTCCTTACTGACAGACCTGGGCTAATCAGCGCCCCATCTCTGCCTCTGTTTCCCCATTTAGGTCATTTCCTGCCATCACTGACTGCTGGGGCTCAGTCCTCAGCCAGGCTGGCTGTGTGAATGACCTCGGAAAAGGGACACCACATCCGCGCCCCTGGCTGGCAGAGCCACTCGTGTGTGTCTTGTTCTCCATACAACGCCTCTCCCGAGAGCTCCTCTGGACAGCATCATCTGGGACCCCACGGTTCTCACTGGGGCAGGCAGCTGGGACACTGGGGTGGGGACTTCCTAGGCCTCGACAGGTGACTGCAGCACGGAGCTGGGGAGGCCTTGGGCCCACGCCTGTGCTTTCCGCTTTGATTAGCGGAGACATTCCTGCATCGGTCACGGGAAGGCGGCTGGCTGGGAGCCACAGTCACCCGGGAAGCGCAGACAGGCTGCAGCTGGGCCGGCCTCTCCCCAGGGCAGGACATATGGGGGATCCCCAGGCCACAGCTGCTGCCACTGGGAAGGTCTGTCTCATGTCCTCCCAGTCTGGCCTTGCTCCTTACACACACACATACACACACTCACAGACTTAGACTTGCAAAGCTGACAGCAATTCCCAGATACCCTCACAGGTACGCAGGCTCCCAGCCACACCCATGGGCAGCTGTGCACATGCCCACACCACTCGCTGTGCACCCAAGAGGTGGGGGGAATTGGCACGGGCTCAGGGAAACCCCGCTGGGCCAAGCTCCCTGGGGCAGGGCTGCCTGGTGAACAGCACACAGTAGGTCCTCTTTGACCTTCCCCTGTGTTCTGTGTATTTCTGTCATCCACTGCTGGGCCAGCTCCCAGTAGGACAGGAGCTCCCTGTGCTCAGGATCCTGGTGTCCCCAGCGGCCAGCACGGGGCATAGCGCTTAGTAGGGGCACGAGGCACATGCCCTGGTGGAGGGCATGACCAGCAGCCCTGCCTGCCCACCGTGCTGTCTCCACTTCACTCATTTCCAAGCTGGTATCCTGAGCAGTTGCCTGATTCCCCGCGAGGAGATGTGGTCTTGTATCCCAGGAACCCGACCCCTTCCCTTTATCCCTCTCTTCCACGGCTCCGCCCCTCTGCCCAGTTCTGGTCCCACCTAGCCACCTCCTGCCCTGGCCATACTCCTTCCCCTGCAGGTCTGACCCACCTGCCACACAATGTCAGCCTTGAGTTCAAGTTCACCTGTGCAGGACAAGCCTGAGAACAAGACACCCTCGGTCCTGGTCACGGGAGGCCATTATGAGCAGGCAGTGACAGTGCAAGTGCCACCGTGGGGCTCACGGGTGATTGTGGAGGGGCCCCCAGGGGGGAGATGGCTCTTCCCGTGGACATCCCCACTGAGCCCCTGCTGAAGTCCACCCATCACCAGTGTCACCGCTCTTTCCCTCCTGTCCTCGGTGTCACCCGCTCCCTCACTCGCCCATCTTCTTCCCTCATTCTCAGGGCCTTTGCATGTGCAGCCTGTCCTCTCTTCCACCTACCCTGGCTCCTCCTACCCCTCCTCACTTGGCAGAGCCACTCTCACAGCCTCCCACATGACAGCCCCACCACCCGCCCTGTCCTGAGATCGTCAAGCTGCCTTCATTTCCAGTGGCCCATGCACATCCTGAGGGGAGGGATGCTGTCCTGTAGTTTCTGTGACCCCAGGGCCAGCTAGGCCCAGCACACAGATGTCGGGTTCTTGGGAGCGGACAGGGGGATGGTATCTCTCGTTAACCTTGTAACCCATGCAGTGGGTGTGTGGAGACTTCTTGTCTGTCCAGTGCCCACTGTGTGCCATGCGTGTGTCACACAGCAAAGGTGCCAGGCTGGAGAATGGGCCTGGGTGCTCCCTGCTCCTGCCCTGGAGCGAGACCAGGCTGCAGGGCTGCCTTTGGTCAGTGGGACTCAAGCACAAGTTTCACACTCAAATCCCCTTCCCAGGAGGTGGGGGAAGCAGGGGACCTGCCCAGCATGGACTCTGCCCGGACAAGTCTGCCGTCTAGCGCTCTCCTCTATTACTGCGTTAAGTCCTCCCACACTCAGGAAGCCCTGGTCCCCAGGAGGTAGGACTCAGCCCCCTCTTTCCCAGCAGAAGCCCTCACTGTCCCTAGAGTGATTTCACAGCCTGCGCCTCCTATCATCCTCAGGGAGAGAGACTCCACCTCTGCCTCAGAGAGGATGGGATACTTACGGAGCCCAAGGATGGAAAAGAAGTGAAGGTAGGGCCGGGGATTTAGCTCAGTAGCACTGCACCTTCCTTGAAAGCACAGGGACATAAGTTTGATCCCTGGTAGCAAAAAAAAAGAAAAAAAAAAAAAACCACAAAAAAAACATGAAGGTAAATGAGCAATAACCTTTCATGGTCTGTGTGGCCGTGTATTGTATAGACACTCAGCAATAAATTTTTAAAAAGTCCAATGTACAACGGCTAATGAGAGAAATATAGAGGTTAATTTTTTTCCATAGCAAGAAATTCCGATTAGCGTGACCATGTTTCTACTCTTGACCTCTTCATTTTTACTGCCTCATTACTGCAAAATGGCTGCTGATCCCTCAAGTATCACATCTGCATTTAAAGCAGGAAGAAGGGAGAAGAAAGTGCTGTCTCCCCTGGAAGCCTCTGCCCTTTTGCTGAAAAATAGCTCACTATCACCTTCCCCAAATACCCGAAAGACTTCCTCTTACATCTCATTAGCCAGAATTGAGTCCCATGGCCACGCTCTGACCAACCACGGTCCATCCAGGGGAATCGGATGGCCAATCACAGCTCATCCTCTGGCACCGCGACTGCTGTGTTTCTGCTGGCTCAACAAGCAGAAAAAGTTCTGCTTAGTGAGAAAAGAAAAAGGAAGGCCTGGGCAGGGCCTGAGCCTCTACCACCACAGCAAACAGCTCTCTTTCATGTGATCCTCGAAACGGAGCCTCGGAGATGTTGTAAAGTCAGGGCTTTGGTGCCAGTTTGGAACATGGGAAAGACCTAGCTACTGGCAGAGGCACATGTAAACCCAAGCATGGGTCCTTAAGCATTCTGCCCCCTGCTAGGTTGCGGGGCCTCTGGGGCCAGGAAAGTCTAAAGGCACTAGGGCCGGGCCACCGTACCATGCTCCTCACATGCCCACCCTCAGTGGCTCAGAGTGGGCATGGCCTGCCCTGAGTGCTCAGGTCCCGACAGGAGGCTGTGCCAGGTTCCAGAAAGGGGCTGCCACTCCGCCCTCCGGAGCCAGGGTCAGAGCTGCTGCTGAGTCCCCACCGTATGTCTGTCCCCGCCCCGACATCTGCAGTTCCGGGCACCATGCCAGGCCCTGTGCCGGGCCCCAGGGACGCAGGATGGCTGCTCAGGTACAGGTCCTGGCTTTGCCCCCAGCCCTTCCTAATTCAGGGAAATCTTAGATAGAACATTTGGATGGATTCAGAGAAGACAAAGCACACATCTGGCCAGCAATGCCACAGGAGCTTTTTTATTCTCCCATTTTTTATTGTGGTAAAATACACATAACATAAAATTTACCGTCTTGATTCCTTGAGGTGTACGGCTCAGTGGTATTAAGTACATTCATATTATTGCACAAACCTCCCCACCATGCATCTCTGGAATTCTTTTCATCCTGAAAAGCTGAAACGCTTTGTACTCATTAAACCCTAACTGCCCATTCTTCTTTCCCCCAGTGCTGGCAACTGCCACCCTTCTGCCATCTCCATAACTGCAACTGTTCTGAGGACCTCAGGCAAGGGAATCAGCCAGCATCTGTTCTTTTGTGTCTGGCTTATTTCACTCAACAAGTTATCCTTGGAGCTCATCATGCTGAAGCATGTGTCAAAATTCTCTCCCTGTTCAAGGCTATATAGTATTCTGCTGAGTAAATGGACCACCTTTTGGTTTATCCAAACTCATCACCGAGTTGCTCCCCCCTTAGTGCTACTGGAAACAGCTGCTCTGAATGCATCCGTACATATATCTCCTGCAGACCTATCTTTCAGTTCTCTAAGGTGTATATCTCTTGGGCTCATGATTTTTTGAGGAACCGCCATACCGTTTTTTTCACAGTTGCTATACTGTTTTGCATTACTCTGGCACAGTTTTTCAGTGAACTTGAGGTCGGACTTGAAGATGCTTGGTGGGGTTTAGGTAGGGAAAGGCCTCTACGTGGGCATCGATGGGAGGGCACAGCCAGAACATGGAGGAGACAGCAGGCCACGTATAGACATCCGGGAGCAAAGATCCAGGCAAGCCACAGAGGGCTTTGACCCCCTTTGGGGAAGGTGTCAAGCAAAGGAGTGACAACTGCTCTGTTCCCAGGAAGCCTCAGGGAGCAGCTGAGAACAAGGTGGGCTGCAGAGGGTTACGCTGGGAACAGAGGAGGGATGCACCGGAAGCCATGGCCACAAAAGGAGCACCACTCAAGGACAGGGCCAGCCTCTCTCGTGGGGATTTTGACATTCAGTTCATGTTGAGCTTTTGATTTCTTAAAATCCTGCCTAGAACAGTCGCTCAACCAGACTGCTGAGCTTCTGGTGCCCCTTGACCCTCGGCACTCAAGCCAAGTGCCCTTCTCACCTGGCCCTCATCCTGGCCCCACAGGACAGTGACCTCAGCACCCAGCACCATGGCCCATGTATCCATGGTGTGCCCAAAACTGTCCCAAGACATGGGGATCCATTAGCAGGTGAAAGCTCTGTACTTCTCCATCTTACAGTGGACTCTACCTGCACCAGATGTACAGATGCCCCAGCCCAGCCCTCTCTGAATATCTGTGCTTTAGCAGCCTTTCTACTGAATGAACCAGAGTTGGTTTTTGTTGCCTTCAACAAACAACACTGCTCAATATACAAGCTGGTAGCAAGGGTGGCTCTAGGCAAAAGCTGTGGGGAAACTGGGTGAAGCTGAAACTGGTCATCTGGGATGTGTGGATAACATTGATAAAAACCAGTACAGAGTGAGGACAGATCCAGAGGCTCGCAGTGTGTGGTGGAAACAGGATGTCAGCTTTGTTGTCGGGAATCAGAGAAACCAAGAATCACTGAAAGCTGAGCTTCATGGCAGAGGCTCAGGCCTTAAAGAGGAGGAAAGAATGAGCAGTATCACTGCAGTGTGGCCCTGGCGGGCTGGGGAGTGTGAGGATCAGAAGGCAACATCCTAAACTCTTCATTTCTGGCTCAAGACCCAAGGGAACCTGGCCGGGTATGACTCAGTTTTGGAGCACTTGCCTGGTGTGTGGGGGGCCCTGGGTTCCATCCCTAGCACCACAAAAACAAAACAAGAAAACAAAAAGCAAACACTGAGGACCTCTACAATGGGTGTGTCACTTAAATCTTGCAGCCACCAGGCTGAGAGCCAAAAATGCAACACTTAAGTGTATGGAACAGCAAATGACATCACGAGCGGATGCTGTGGCCTCCTCGACTCTTGGGGAGATTCTGGATAATTCTGGATGTGCTACACCGAGTCCCACTCCCACTGTGTGGGAGGCTGGGCTGCCATAACCAGGACCCCGCACTGACATTCTCAGCTCCACAGACCCTGCAGCATCCTCAGACCAGTCACACCCTAAGGGTCCTGCGGGACTGACTCTCCATCCAGCCAAAGTCTGTGCCGAGCTTTCCTATTCAGGTCATCAGAAATCTGGGGATGACTGTTACTGGGCTGGGAGGATCCACACCAGAAAGAGGGGGTGCAATCTTCGATTGGGCCAGCCGAAACTTGCCAATTGGTGGCTCTGAACTTGTGGTGCTGGCTTCGTCAGCTGGGGTAATTTCGACTGTTTCCTCACTGGGTCTGGTGGGAAGACGCACCAAAGCAGTGCCCACACTAACCATGGGGATGATGGGAGTGTGGCGGGGTGATGGGAAGATGGGTGCACAGGTGTTGGATGGATTGAAGGATGGATGGTGCATGGATAAATGCATGGAGGGGTAGAGGGATGGTTGGACGGATGGATGGGTCAATGGACAGAGAAATAAAGACTTGGAGAGAGATGGTGGCTAGATATATCAAAGGCAGATTCAACATAATCCCAATCCCTGAGATTCCTCTACTCCAGGAAGATGCTGAATTAAGAAATATGCATGGAATGAGCCCAGAAGTTGAAATATCTATAGTTAGTGGTGACCTCAGTCTACAATTTCTTAGCCACATACAGTGTGTGACAATCAGCCAGGCAAGCAGAGGCTTGTGGCAGACATACTACAGATCTTTTCGTTCACTCATCCAATGAGTCTGTTGAACATCCACTATGTACCAGGTGCTTTCTGGGCTCTGGGAACACAGTAGGAAACCAAGTCCATAGCGAATGTCCTTATGGGGAGTTGGAGTAGATGCAGGGCTTGCATCCATCCATCCATCCAAGCCAAGTGGGGACATAAGCTATGGAGACGGATGAGCAGGGATCTGGGTGGAGGCTGAACTCTGGGGAAGGTGGAGGGGGACACATGGGCAGCTTAACAGCTGCACAGAGCCTGAAGTAAGGGCAGTGTCCTCAGTCTGTTGAGGTTCCTTTTGCTCTATTCAGACAGAAATTGTGAGTCAGCAAAGTACAGCTTTGCTAGCCGCTCTGGGCTTGGAGCGCTAATGGCCCTTGGCCCTTAATGTCACATCTCTTGTCCCGCATGCCACAAGTCAACACCAGTCAACACCGGACACCACTGGTCACTGCCCCACCTGTTACTGGTCTCTGTCAAGGATCTTCATTGGCCACTGATCCCTGGAGCTCTTCAGGAGTAATATCCTATAGAGCTTGTAGTTCTTTTGGGAGCAACCACTCTGTCTACATCACTCAGGATGAGAATCCTAAGTACTGTAGATCTACAGAACCTTCCAAGCCCACACTATGCCAGAAATCAATGAGATTTACCATAGTGAGGCTTTTTTTTTTTTTAACAAGATCTACACTGCAACACAAGAACATCAGCAGACCAAAAGGAGCCATCCAAGACCAAAAACCATGGGAATAGTGCTGCTTATATAGCAACAGTACACCTGTGATTGGTCCAAATCCAAGTCTCTATAATTGGTTCAAATTCAAGCCTGCCAATTGGTCCAAATTTGAGCCTGGTGATTGGCCCAAATTGGTCTAAATTCAAGGCTTCTGATTTAAGCCTACTGATTGGTCCAAATTCAATTCTTCTTGGTTAAAATTCAAGCTCTCTGCAGTGAGGGCAGACATCTACTGGAACTGGTGTGGGGCCTCCCTGACAGTTGCAGCTGTCATCCAGGCATTTGCACCCAACATCTAGGGACTACTTGATTGATAGCTGTTGCATCTCTTCAAAAAACACAGGGCCGGGCCGGGGATTTAGATCAATGGTTCCGCCGCCAGCCTGGCAAGCACAAGGTCGAGTTGGATCCCCGGTACCGGAAAAAAAAAAAAAAGTACAGGGTCAAAATGTACTGGGGAATCCCCAGGAGCACTAGCTGTGTTCAACACAGCTTATTTGGAGGTTTGAGGTGTTTGGGGTATTACTGATGAGCCCGGTTCCTTCCCTGAGCTTTCATGTTAGGGGCAGTTTCCCCTCTGCTTCCTCAGAGGTGGCCGCATCTAAAGTGAGGCAGGCACCATGGCTGACAGCCAATAACCCAAGAGGACACTGAGGCAAGTTGTCCCCGTCCACCCTGGGGGGTGTGAAAAGAACAAGAGGGAGAGGTGTCAACAGCTGCCTGCCCTACCACACCCCGCTCCAGCCATCACACGAGAGGGGTGCGAGTCTGGTGCCTCTCCTCAGCCTCGGAAGTCTGAGCTGCACCTCGTCATGGAAGAGCAGTGACTTCCCCAGGGTCACACAGCAGCTATGGGGCTGGGTCTGTGCACAGGTGTTGGGATCCGGGTATAAAACGGGAAACACCAGAGACAGTGTCAGAAGGGGAGGGACTCACTCGGCACCCGTGTCCTCTCAGCCTGAAGTGCCCACTGCTCCCTTCACCTTTATCTTCTCCACCCATTCCTGAAAACAAGTTTCCGAGTGCTGAGACCTCATGGGTATTTTACTTGATAAGCAGGAAGTGTTCATTAAGCTTTAGGGAGGCAGCCGTGCTGAGCCTCCAGAGGTCACAGTCACGCTGTCTGCCTGAGAGGAGTTCCCACCAGGACTCGGCAGGGGAAAGGGGGAGGCAGGTGGCTGCGCCCGGGAGGTTCCTGCAGCTGTCGGTGGAACAGCCCAGCTGTTGGCAGCTGCCAAAATGCCACATGCGCTCCCCCCCAGCCCCCACCAGAGGCTTCTCTGGACCCTGGGAACTCAGAGCACTGGGGCCCCCGGAGAGGGAGCAATCCTGCAGACAAGATCCATCCAGCAGGCAGGCAGGTAAGCTTTTGCAGGTAACTCCCTTGGATCCGCACCACCCACCACCAGGGCGGATGCCACTTCCTCCAGTGCAGTCTGGGAGTTGCTGTGAAAGTCCCTGGCAGTGATGGGCACATTGGCAGGGCCACACAGTGGTGTGTGAATGAATGAATAAATGAGTCAGTCAATCAGTCACAGGGAGCCCAAATGTTACTCAGTCAATCCAGCTGTCTACCTCCAGCTTGCTACCTCCAGAGGCAAAACGGCCTTAACTTTTGAAAGCCAGATTCCCCACTTCCTGGGCTCCCCAACAGCCCCAAGTCTACACCACTGGTGTGACCAGAACACATTTAGCACATATTATAGGCCGGTACCCAAGTCTTCGTGAGTGACAGAAAGTCCAGTGGGGCTGAGGTTTAGCTCACTGATACAGCGCACTTAGCACACGGGTGTCCTGGGTTCGATCTCCAGTGCCGCAAAAATAAAAAATAAGAGAAAGCACAGAACCCCAGGGCTGGACCTACAGACCACAAGTCTCTTCCTGAGGCCAGGATCCGGCAAGCTTGGGCTGTTACTGGGTGGCCGAGGGCTGTTTGCTTAGGAACCCGAAGCCCCTCGGCCTCCTACTATGCTCCACCCACCACACTGAAGCCCGGCTCGCCCGGGACAGGTACAGTCCCGACACTGGGGCCCAAGTGTCCAGAGCTGCTGGGGGGGGCACCCTCCCCTTCCCACGACACGGAGGGCTCCTCCAGCGCCAAGGCCTTGTGTGCGCACGCGCGCGCGGAGCCTCCAGAGCGAGAGGAACACGCAGCAAGCTGTCGGCACATCCTGCCAAGGCGGAAAGGTTAATTGTCACGCACGATGCCAACAGACAGACCTCCGGCAGATTCATTTGGTTTTGTTTTGTGGTTATTTTTTTTTACAACTTTAAATACGGAATATAAATAAATTTTACATTTAAAAAATAAAAGGAAAGCCCCCAAAAATATAATCACCGACTTTACAAACTGAAGGAAGCAGATCTTGGAGGGGGGAGGGGAGGTGCTGTAGGAAGGGGAGCACGGACCCCCACCCAAGGGGTCCTGGGGCTCTTTTCCCTTTTCTCCCCACGCCGACCACCTGCTGGGGTCCTGGGCGGAGCCACCAGGTGGGCCTCCAAGAACCCAAGATGGGGGAGTGCGGGGAAGGGCAGGAGGGCCTCCCCACATCTGCCTGGAACAGCCGGAGCGGAGGCCTGGGGAATGGGGGCAAGGGCCTGCACACCACTGGTTCCCTCCCTTCGGACTACTCCAAGCCGTGTCAGGGGCACAGCCCGCCCACAGGGAGCCTTGGTGTGAATTAGGAAAAGGATCCCTTTCCTCAGACACTTGACCTACATCTGCCAGAAACTGTCATAATAAATAGACAAATGGGTCACAATGTAGGGTGTGAAGCGCGCTCCCTGCATGCAATGCCCTTGTGCAGTCCACACTCTGCACAACCTTACATGGCAGTCCTGGCTGGGTTGGAATAGGACGAGCAGGTCTTTTGCCCTGGCCCCCGGTCTTCTGTCCTAGGGAAGAATGACTGGCGTCTCGATCACCCACTGGTGGAACAGACTGAAGGGCCAGGATGAGTGGGAGATACAGGGTAGAGGTAGAGAGATGAAAGGAAACAGGGGGAAATGAACTGGGGTGGACAGGGGAGGCAGCGGGTAGCCAGGTCGCCATCTGCATTCACCCGAAGAGCACACTTCATCTGTAACCTGCTGGAGGGGGCTCACAGCCCCTGGCCCGGGGAGTCCATCTCCGAAGATCTCACACAGAGCAAATGAACGAAGCCGCCCGCAGTGAGCAGAGCTGACCGGGAGGGTGACGGCCGTCTGCGTCGTGGATGGGGCTCCCCCGTCTGTGCTCCCCGTGTGGTCTCAGCCACTGTCCGAGGCCCCAGCGTCCCTGGAGGGGTCCCCTGGAGCTGGCTGGGGCCTCGGAGCAGCTCTCCTGGAGCCAGGCATGGGGGAGGGAGCCCCATCCCCAGCGGTCTCTCTGCTCCTGTCCACGTTCTCCAGTTCAAGGGAGGAGGCAGCGATGGATCCGAGTCCTGTTTCCTCCTCTGGCCGCAGGGTAGAACGCCGGAGGCCACTGGTGGGGACGGACAGACGGAGGCGTGGAGGGGATGGACGCGTGGAGGGCGGGGGAGCACCATTGGCCGTCCGAATCAGGCATCGAGACGGACGGACGAGGGGAACAACATTATCACTCCAAGGACCCCATGGGGGCAATACAGCAAATACCATATTAAATACCCTGTGGGCCGAGCAGAGGGACGCGGGGTCAGAGACGGCCAAGGGCCCTGGGCCCACCACACTCCCAGGCCACAGGCCAGGCAGGGAGCCCCCGAGGATTCCAGGGGCTCGGGATGGCAGCGTGGCACCCAGTCCTCCCTCCCTCGGGGCAAGCCTGGGTGTAGCAGGCCTGGTCTCCAGGGCCCACCCACCGGTCAAGGGAAGGGAAATGCGGGGCTTCAGGCCTCAGTTTCCCTTCTGGGCCTCACCTGCCCACATTCTCCTGCAGCAGCCCCTACGCTCCAAGGGTCTCTTTCAGCGTCTCCTTGTCATGTGTGTGCTTGAACTTGCGGTGCTTCCCCTTGGGGGGCCTGCGGACTCGCACTGTCCGGATGGCCACCCGACTCTGGGGTGTCCTGGCTGCTCAAGAGAGAGAGAGCTTGTGAGCGTGTGCACGAGTATGGGGTGCATCTCTTCACCAAGGCCCACTGGACCTGGGCTAAGGAAAGGCCAGACAGAGGAGCTGGAGACCCTGTCACCCAGGCCCCAACAGCAGTGAGTGCCTAAGGAGAATTACTGACCCTCCTCATGACTCAGTCTCCCCATGTGTGAAATGGGTATCAAGATGGCCCACATCACAGGACTGGTGAGAGGAACCAGCTAGCTGGCAAAATTCTTTGTGCAGTGCCTGACAGACGGTGGGCTAAACGTGACTTCCAACTCTTTGCCGCTACCCACGGACAGGTGGGTTTTACTTCCTGCGCCTTGAACCCAGCCTACACGTGAGCTGTGTGACCATCAGAAGGAGGCAGAGTCCTGTGCTCCAGTCAGGCAGAAGCCTTGGGAAGACCCAGCGGGTCCCACCTTTGAGGGCGCCCCGTCCTGACATGTAGGAAGTCTGACCAAGCTTGTGCCAAAGGATGTCACGTTCGGACTAGAGCCCAGGAGGGCTGACGCTGACCACACAGTGCCTTGGGCCACAATGCCAAGCCTCCGCCCAGGCAGGGACAGCCGCCACCTCCACAGAAATGCCACAGCTAAGCTGGCCGACTTCACATTACCTACACTCGTTGCTTCAACGCAACTCCCAAGTCAGTGTGGACTCGGTCATGAATGACAACGTGTCCATCTGGAGCCGCCAGTGACCAGGCCCCTGCGGACAGCCCCGCTCTAAGCACAGGACACAGGCTGAGAAGCAGCACTGCCTCTAGGCTTCTTAATAGGACATCAGAACAAAAAGGCCCCTAACAGAAAAGTACTGACGATCAAAATTGTTATTTACTTGATTTTTTAAAAATGTTCACATAATTGTATTCACTGAATAATGCGATCCTTATGGGAAATATTTAAGACAGGTAAGAGCCACAGAGAGCTAAGAACAGAACTTTGGGACACTGTGGGACAGGCTGTGTGGCCGGGGTAAGAAATCATCACGTCTGGGTCCCAGGCACCTCCTCTGTAAAATGAGGTAGGCCAGATCATGCTCAGGGGCTCTTTCAACTGTGAACTCAAGAAGTCTACAGGCACAAACAGAATTCTAATTCCACTCATTCATCTGATGAATGCCTGAGCTCCTTCAGTCATATCCCAGCTTTGGGCCGGGGATTTAGCTCAGTGGTTCTGCCACCTGCCTCACAAGCACAAGGACCCAAGTTCGATCCCCAGTACCAAAAAAAAAAACCAACAAAAAAAAAAAA